AAACAAACAAAATTTAAATTTGGGAATTTTGATAGAACAGAAATAATTTTAAATGAATAGCTGTAACAAATGTAACTGGATGTTACGGTGTAGTTCACTGGTGGGTTCCGAATCCCGTTGCTACCGGTACGGTGCAACAGGGCCCGGCGTCCACCACAAGAACACGCGTAGCACACACGCACAGCGCGCGCATATGTCCTTACCTCCTGCGATGCTCTGCGATGCTCCAGCTGCTTGGCAGAGGTTGCACAGGCACCATACACTCTGTGCGCATGCATGAAAGCGCCGAAGAGCTCAAATACAGGTAAGGAGGATGGCAGGTGGGCCCTCCGGAGCACCGTACCGTACCGGTACCTGGTGCTCCTGGCAAGCACTGGTACACCTGTTCCGAGACGTACCGCCTGCAATCCACCACTGATGTAGTAGTCCGAATTCTGTTCTTATTTTTACGTGTGCCATTGTGGCCTAGGTCCTATGTATTTCTGGATCTCATTTGTAGACATTTGCATTTGTGAACCTTGAAATCCATGTTAAATCTATTTTAGAAACATGAATGTCTCATAAATGTAAACCTGTATTCTTTTTCATTTTAGTGCTGTGTATTGCGGTTGATTACCTTTGAGTTATATTCTCACTTCTATTTTCTGGTAACTGTATATCTTTACACTGAAGGGTGTGAACACAGCACCAGAGGTGTTATACATAGCTAGTGATACAAGCAGTCTCTGTGGGTGAGCAGTGATCCAAAACAAATGTGAATGTATGTCTAGAATTAGGGCAGACATGCTGTTGTTTGGTTTGCTTTTATCTTTTTGAAAGGGATGATAAATTGTAGCAGAAGCTATTCAATTTCTACAAGCATTCTCCTTGCATTGTCCCTAGACTGAGCTTCTGCTACAATTTATTATGTTTCAAAATGATAAAAGCAAATTGAACAACACTGTGCCTGTCATAATCCTGGAAATGCATAATACAATAAAATAAGTAGAGAAAATAATATTGAATTGGCAAAGATGATTGAAGATAATATTATGATATTTATAACTTAGTCAGGCTGTAATCCTATATTGATTTAGCCTTTCTGTTAGCCCCCTTACATTTTAACGAGACTTACTTTTAAATAGATAAAAGTTTGTAATGTTAAAATTATTTAAGCCCAGTTAAAATCATTTAGGATTTTAACTACATGAACTTGGAAATTAGGGCGTATTTTACACCCACTTTTTCTATTTTGGGGGATCCCAGGGTATGTGCTTTGTGTTTGTTTCATTTCTTACTGCTTATACAGCAGCCTTTTGACTTTTCACAAGTCTTTTGTTGATTGCTATGACATTAATACTTACAGCTCCAGTTACAACAATAATTGTCAGGGTTTGACTGCTTTTCAACACCTTCACAGCCTGGTGGGGGCAGATAGAAAAAGGAGGTGATGACAGAAAAATTAAACTGTAAAATATAAATATTATAAAAGTGTACAGTTTCTACAGGACTAACAGTGCAGTTATGATGGCTTTTATTCTTCTCAATATAATATTTTTAGTTATAATTCTAAAAAATAGGGGAACGTATTTGTAATTCTACTCATTTGTCATAAACACTGTTGCAAAAGATTTTCTTTTTTCCTTCATTTTCTTAAAGCGACATGATACAATTACTTTAGAACTTCAAACTAAAAATAAAATTTTGTTATTTTAACCACCTAGAGATGGTTTTCAGGTTTGGAGTGAGGATTGAGTTTTAAGCAATGTTGTGCAGAATACAAAGGGGGTAATTCCCAAGTAAATATGTTAGAATCGCAAGTGTACAGAATTTTTGACAAAGCTGACATGTCTTAAAAAAAATTAAAATCCATTTCCCTAGTTCAACATCTTTGGTTAATTTTTATCAAATAAAATTCTAAATGGTAGCTATAATGATATGGCAATCAATGGGCTTGTATCAATCAGTTGTATATTTATATTATATTTTATTCAAAAGAACATTTAATAATTTATTAAGTTTATATGCCATCTGACTCCCAGTTACCCTGGACAGTTTTCAATGGTTAAACGTTTTAAAAATAAAGAACAATAAAGTAAACATAATGTCAGGCCCAGAAATGATACAATATCAATTGAGTCCAATCCTTTATTTGCTTGCAGCTAAGGGACAGAATCTTGCTGTACTAAAGTTATAAATTTCTAATCTACGAGAGATACTAATATACGTGAGAGGTTCTAAGGTGTGGCTAATCTAAACCTTTTCCCCACTCTTCCTCCATCTTGAGACTATGCAGTCTCTTAATCTGGGCCCCTCTCTAGGAAAGTTCTGCATTACAAAACTGTCCCCCATTGTTCCTGCAGGCGCACATTCCACTTACACATTAAATAGCACAAGACAAAGGGACATCAAGTCCAAAGGGGATCAGAAACCAAGAAAGGGCCATTTAATCATCCTCTCCAAAGGCCTCTTTTAGGCACTTTGAATTCCTACTATGTGGAAGCTAGTTGAATTTTGGGGGAACTTCATGGTCCTATGTCATGTAGGGTCACTTGGGTTTTAATTACCTCCTTATGATCCATATTAGAGAAGTCTGCACCATTTACTTCAACAATCTGATCACCAACCTAAAAAGACAATCAACGAAAGTGCTGAATATTTTTTGCATACTTCTTAGTAATGGTGGTCCATTCTTTGTTCTGGAAAACCTCTGAAATAAGACAGATCCTTAAAGCTCTACTCTTGACTGTTCTTTCTCCTGTTAAAACATATATGTGCATGCACAGATCCACACAGTTTTTGCAAGAAGGTTAATACTGGAACACTCAGCTTCCCAGGAGCTATCTAATTTATCTTTGCTTGTCTTATTCAGTTTCACAATTCGATATTTAAGAGATGAACTTCAATGAAATGTGATAACAGATCTCCTTGATTTCAAATTGTGGCGTCGGATAAAACTCTTGAGAGTCCCTTGGACTGCACAGAGATCAAATCAGTCAATCCTAAAGGAAATCAATCCTGACTATTCTTTGGAAGGACAGATACTGAAGCTGAAGATCAAATACTTTAGCCACCAAATGAGGATTCACTAGAAAAGACATTGATGTTGGAAGAGACTGAAGGCATCAGAAGAAGGGGACAACAGAGGATGAGGTGAGGTGGTTAGATAGTGTGATTGAAACAATGAATATGAATTTGGGCAAATTTTGGGGACAGGGAGTCTGGCATACTATGGTCTATATATCAAGGGTCGCCAACCTACATCAGGAACCACTAAATTCATAATTTAAAATCCTGCAGACCACTAATATGAATGTTTAAAAAAGATAAATAGTATTTAGAGTAATATAAAAATGCAAATAATTTTTCTGTGGATTACCAAAATTTTCTCACAGACCACTGGTTGGTGACCACTGGTATATATTGTTCAGATTTAGTAACTGGATAACAACAAATAAAATAGATCTCCTCCTTTAGACTGGATCTTTCTCCCTTGTGTCAAAAAAGTTTTTATTTATCTTGGCAGATCAAATGAAAGATATGAAATGCACCCTTTGTTTGGAAAAATATGATTTCCTATATTTGCTTGCATTGGGGGTGAGGGAGACCTCCTCTTCCTCTTCTTCTTCTCTTGAGTTCTTTGTAACTTGTCTGAAGACCATTAGAAATTTAAAATTTTCAAAATCATACAGTTCCGGAAAAGGTAAGTGAATTGCTTAATCTAATCCATGAGATTAGATCAATTCAATGCAACAAGATAGATGTATATTATACGTATTTTCTTAAAGTGATCAATATTTACTTTAACTTCTGCGACATATGAGTGAATTCTCCTCCGCTCTTACTTATTTAATTAACTGATAATCAGCATTTACACTAGCAAATAGTCCTCAACATGGCTAACAATTACAGTATAAACCATACTATTACAATATACTACATTCACCTGCAAGTTAAAAACCAATTTCCACAAACCAAACTTTTCATGATTAGAGAAAAAACATTAGAACTTCTTCCAAATTAAACATTTCCATGCAGTTAGATTTTGTATGGTTTATATTCACCTCCAACCCTACTTCAGCAGACAAAGAATTTGGTTTAACGTTGCTTATGAAAATGCCAGGTTTTTGTGTAGGGCCACTGGAAATACTGGAACAAAACATGAAAGAAATAAAATCACTAATTAATGGTAATCATATCAAGACTAGACTAATAGACATTTCCTTCTCCCCATTCTTCCTATCAGTGGTGGGATTCAAATAATTTAAAAATCGGTTCTCTGTCCTAATGACCAGGTGGGTAGGCGGGGCTGAGTGGTCATGTGACCATGTGGGCATGGCTAACTCAACATTACTCGATGGGCCTTAGCTGTTACAACGTAATAAGGGTTAACCGGAGGGACAGTTTCTGTAAGCAGGGCAATAAAGATTAAGCTAGAAATAACACCAGAATGTTTCCTTCCTTCCTTACAGGATTGGCCCTGTAAAGCGGAAAAAAACCAAAAGAAGATTTCTTCCAACAACCGGTTCTCTGAACCTCTTAGAAAGTTATGAACTGGTTCTCCCGAATAGGTGCGAACTGGCTGAATCCCACCANTATTTCTCTCTCTATCCCTCTACCTACCTACCTACACACCCTCTCTCTCTCCCTACTTACCTACTGTATTTCTCTCTCTCTCTCTCTCTCTCACACACACACACAAACACCCTTTATCTACCTACTTACCTAACTACTCACTCTCTCTCCCTACCTATCTACTGTATTTCTCTCTCTCTCTTTCGCTCTCTCTATCCCTCTACCTACCTACCTACCTACACACACTCTCTCTCCCTACCTACCTACTGTATTTCTCTCTCTCTCTCTCCCTTTATCTACCTACCTACCTAACTACTCTCTCTCTCTCCCTACTATCTACTGTATTTCTCTCTCTCTCTCTCTCTCTTTCTATTTCTCTCTCTCTCTCCCTCTACCTACCTACCTATAGACACACTCTCTATTTTTCTCTCTCTCTCTCTCCTTCTATCTACCTACCTACCTACTCTCTCCCTACCTACATACTTTATCTCTCTCTCTCCCTACCTACCTACTGTATTTCTCTCTCTGTCCCTGTCTATCCTTCTATCTACCTACCTACTTTTTAAAAAATTTGCCTCTTCAAAACCTTGTTGCGTCTTATACTCCGGTGCGTCTTATACTATGAAAAATATGGTACTTTAATCATCTAACTAAGGAACTAGTTCACTTTTACATATATAATTTGAATTATACTGTGACATATATTATTATGTTATAATCTACACTTTTAACTCATGTTCTCCATGCTTTGATAGCTAAGTCAGGTTACTTAATATTCAATCTCAATAATGCATTTAAGTATACACATTTTCAAATATAAGTCCATATCTAAATACCCAGGAGTGTGCATGTTTTTTACTCTTTTCATACAGGAAATAGACACATACATATCACAAAGAACATACCTCTTGAACCAATCGGCTGATTTTCAACTGCTTTTCTCTTTCCAAATTCTCTTCTTTTTCCTTGAGAAGTTTTAGCTCAAACTCCAGTTGCATTTTGCTTTTTTTCTGTTCACTAAGACTGTCACTTTTTGCTTTTATTCTTTCTTTACCTTTCTGGATTGTTGTTATATTAATATTAATTATACATGTATACTACAATGCGCCAGAGTTTCTCCTAGATAACTGTGACACAATCATCCAGTTATTAAAGCAGCAAGACATAAAAACCACTCTCATAAAGAGTAAGACAGGCATGAAATTCCCTCAGATTTTGAGGGAAAGCTAGAGATAGCAAGATTCATGCATACTTGTTATAAATTTCCCACTATACTGATCTGAACCCCCCCTCCCCAAATCTACAGTTTTGCATGCTTTTAAAGAATAGGTCCTAATATAAATAATGGAAGCATTCTATCAGGCAATATAATACGTAATGCCAAAATGATAAAGCCACAAATTGCACAAAGATCAAAACCTAAACTAAACAACACAGCAAAAGCCTTCAATTGATAACAAATTACTTATTTGGAATTTCACTGAACTGCTTAAATGTCTCAGTTTGATAACTTTAATATGAGTTAATAGAAGACATTGTTTTTAATGGACTTAACCAAATTAGCTTTCTGGAAAACAATGTCCATTATCTTAAAGATAAAAAATATTTGCAGAGATAAGCCACTTAGAGTCAGATGATTGAAATGGCATAAACCAGTAGGTTTACTTCCAAATAAGAGTATTTGCATCATTTACAGTTCTGCACACCACAATGGAGAATGTATTTGTGTAGATATAAAGTATATTAGATAGTAAGATACTGTATTTTCATTCACACAGAGGACAGCTCCAGCTTGCCTTCCTTTAACATCCCCTTGCATTATTAAAAACCTATATGGAAGATAAGGTTCTGCCAATTAATGTGGGAGAAAGAAAGGGAAGACACTCTTACCGGATAATTGGCCCAATTTGGGAAAGGCAAGAACTGGAATGCTTTTCTACACAACAGGTTAGGATATAAATCATTATAACACATTCAGACCCTTCCTTCCTTTCATGCTTATCAAGATAACCCTAACTACGGAAAATGCACATGGGTTCAAATGCAATGATCACAGCAAACTTTTCAAAATGTTCAACATTTTTCTACCTTGCGAATAGTAGGAAATTTCCCCTCATACCGATAAAACCATCCAAAAGCTATATGTATAAAGAGAACAATGCATTATAGATACTGTATTTATATCAGGAGATTACAACGTATAATACACATAAAAAGGATGAAAATTATAGCAATGGAAATATAAATTTTTATCTTAACTTGGAAACAGCCATAAAAAATAGGCAGAAGTCTCTTCTTCAGATTATGAGAGTTCTAGCCACTTCACTTTCATACACAAGTAACTTTCATTTTTATTCACTTGCATTGTTTTGATACATGTGCTTTAATCCAAGCATTATAACTTAATTTTTTGGAAGCAATACTGCATGATACTCTCTAACTAAAAGTTTTACTAGTTATATTGATACAGAGCATCTGTTTTGAGTTGCTATTAGCTGGTGTGCACAGAAATCATACCTATTGGATCTCTGTTCCCAACAATGTACAAAATACTAATTTTGAAAATTAAAAGAAATATGATCTCAGAATGGGATAATAACCCAACATACCTCTTTCCATCAATAGCAGGAAAAATGCAGCTATTAGCTTTCCACACAAAATTGCATTGAATATTCATTTGGTTTTTTTAATGGAAAAATACATTAGCTGAACTTGTAATATCATTGCTGATATGGAAAAGAATTACTATTTATTCTAAAGGTATGTTAAGGTTATTGATATTTTTCCAGTTGTATATCAGCTCAATATAATAATGCTACTTTGTTCAAGTTTTAAATAGTATTTATACAATATAAAGCATGGCTGTAATTTAGTAAGATATCTCCGTGTGTTCAAATATCTTCCATCCCTTTAAAGACCACATTATATATTTTCAGTTATAGATGTTCAGCTTATAATTAAATTACAGTTTCATACTTGGCTAGTCACCTGGATATTTAAAAAGGCTAGTATTTATTCCTTGGATACCAGGTCCAAAATCAAACTTGTTAATTAAGAAGATAATATAATTAATTTTTGTTTCTTGCCCATAAATCTTTTTGATAGCACTCAAAACCTCACTTTTAAGTGGAGTTAGTTGAAGAAAATCTTTCATTTTTACTAGTTATTCCTAGCTTCTGTAGGTCTTTTCTATTATGATGTACAGTAATTGTTAAAGGAAATTAAGCAGAAGGATACAGACAAAAGGCACTGTCTTAGTTTTCTAATGACAGAAATCACTTAATTTGAACTATTCGTTGACCCCAGCTCTGTTTTCAATTGTAATGAGACACAACCTACAAAGAATCCATGCAGGGCAATTTCATGTTTTCCGCTTTGGTTGAAAAATCATACAAAGTTATATTGGCTAGCACAGCAAATAAACATTAATGCTTTCCTTAATTTGAGAATTACAGGAAATCACAGAGAGTGAAATGCAGTCCAATTTTAAGAGTGACTGTCAGCAAGAGGGACAGTGCAGGCAGTAAGAAAGTCAAGAGAAGTGAAGGTGCTACAGCAAACCTGTTGGCTTTCCTTCAGCTTCAATCCAGTTGTATCATTTGATGTAGACTGATCAAATGCAGTTTCCTCTAAATCTACTTGAAAAAGAAAGGAAGAAAGAAATAAAGAAAGAAGAAATGACAATTCTTTGGCAGGAGGATGGTTCTCATGAAAGAATTAAAATCAAAAAGTCTGTGAAGAAAGTAGATAAATCTAGGAATAAGATCAGTTCTGTCTTCCTTCTGGGGTGCCACGCAGTGCCACTATAAATTGATCTGAAATGCCAACCATTTATGTGTCCCAAGAATCATACAATAGCCGTTAAAATAAGTCGATATACTTGGACCCAGAAATATGGATTTCTGTAAATTAGTTCCTATTGAAAAGCAAAAGAAGAAGCACTCGTTCTTCCTTAGTTTATTGTATTTTTTTGTTTTCCTCTGGAAAAGCCTTTAGAAGGCACAGCATTTAATCAAAGTAACAGAGAGTGAGACAGAAAAAAAAATCAATAACTGTCCTAGAGATTCACTTCCGCAGCTCAAATCTCTGGCTTCTCCCCATGCTTGCAGTTTGAGAAATGCACTGTGCTGGAATTAATGAAACACATTTCTTATACATAAGAATACAACTTCTTACTTACATCGATGTTTAGGACGAGGTGGAGAATGTACTTCTGCAATTACAGTTTTGGCAGCATTTAGTGATTCTTTATGACCCCAGTCTTCCTCCCACTGCTTTTTGAACTTCTCTTCCTCTGCCTTTATCCTGGAAAAGAGGAAAACATTGCTCCTTTAGACAGCGTAGGGTGAAAAGATATGATAGAGTCACCTTAGTCTAGACTTAAACTAAATATAGTCTAGACTTATATATTAGTCTGTCTCTGGACATAAACCAAACAGAAGCATTCCTTGTTTTATTGTAAACTACCAGGAGACTTAGAAAGTTGGTAATTAAAAACATTAACAACTCAATCAATATATAAAGCAACTAACTATTCTGAGCTTGATGATAGAAGTAAGTTGTGCTATAAACACACCAAGCAAGGCTGAGTTTATTTACTTTATTATTTCTCACTTATAGCTAACAAAAATGTCAAAAGCATATCAACATAAATTGCATAACAGTCAAAATTAAACATCCCCAATCCTTCTGATTTCAGAATATGCTATTTAAGTAGGTACTCAATTTTTCAATTCAAAAGCTTTAACTGTGGCTAAGTCTATGATAGAAAATACCAACCTGACTTAGTTGCTTGGCCTTTGGCAAGTTTTTGGTCAGAACAAGAAAGTGAATCTGCAATTGTTTTTTTAAAATAACTTATATTTTTATGGCATTTGATGTTTATATATTTCTATACTGCTTACCACAGAAATGCATCCCAAAGTAATTTATCAAAAAAGGAGAATATTTGTAATTTAGGGTTGAAATGAGGGTCCCTAGTGGTCTCTGAACTTAATTGCTTTTTTGCAGACATTTCACAGTAGTGGCCAAAATTGTGGAAACCTTTTGGGAAAAGTGTATTTTTGAGGTTTGATGGCTGATAACACCAGGTTTTTACTTTGGAGTTTCAAGATAATCATATTCCACTTCTGGAATGGGCTGGGAATAGCCCACACCTTAACCCAATTGAAAATCTATGGAGCAGACTAAAGAAACTTGTTAGTCAGAAGCGACCCAGCAATAAAACCCAGTCAATAGAAGCAATCATTCAATCTTGGTTTTAGATTATAACCGCTGCAGAACTAAAAGACTTGGTTCACTCCATGGGAAGATGTTGTAAAGGCATAATTCATGCTAAAGTACTAAGTATTAACTGACGTGATAACTTTTGTATATCTCATTCTTTCTATTGTGATAATTTTTGTATATTCAATTTTTCCTACGTGTTTCACTTTCTCCTTTATACTGTAACTGCTATTCTAATAGCAAATCCTTCATAAAGTTATTGCATTAAATTCTTGATTAAATTATCTTTCCATTGGTATATAATTTTAGGGCACTACTTCAAAAAAAGTGGTGTTATTAGCTAGTTTTAGAAAATACACTTTTCCCACATGCTTTCCACAATTTTGGCCACTACTGTAGGTAACATCCTCAGTGCTCATCATCATCACAAGTGACTAATGATGTTACCTAGTTTGAGTAATGAAAGGCCTGCAAAAAAACCAACCAAGTTCAGATACACCAAGGACTCTCTCAAAGTAATGGATACAAATGTATAAGATAAAATAATGAAAACAAAATTTAAACAACATAAAAATATACCAAGTAAATTAAAGGAAAAACCCAAAATGAATAGCTATTCTAAAGCAGTGACTTCCCAGGAAATGCTTTTGCAAAATTTGGCCCTGTCTAAATGTTACATACTTCCCCTGCAGAAATTTCTCTCTCTTATCTGTCAATAGGTTTGAGTTCAATAATCTCAAGTGAGAAGTAGCAGAGAAATAGATTCCAGGCAATCCAGTATTTATTCATGCATAATTAATAATAATTAAGTGAAGATGGCATTTGTTAAAATAAAATTGAAATTGACCTGCAGGGAAATAATACATATAATGGGCAGTTTCATCATATTGATCCCAGTAGGCACTGAGAATACTGAGAACAAACCATCACTTTCATTTCAGATCCAATCTTGGTAATTTTGCTCTACCAAAATAAATTCCCACAGATTCTCAGAAGAGCTCTCTGCACTGCAGAGAAACAGACTGCAGTGAAAATCACAGTCCTGCAATTTGAGATGAAAAACGATCCCATATATCCCAGAGCAGCTTAGGATCTGTAGAAGTGGCCAAAGATAGACATTTCCTATACACAAGGATCTTGGCACCATACGCTGCCAAGATCCCAATGTGGATCAAACATACTCCAGAGACTAATTTTGTGAAGTGAGAAAAATGTGTGTGGTTGACATTTTCCTTCTCAAAACTAATCATTATGGTGAAACCTTTGACACAGTAATGCACAATTCTGCAGGGGGGGCATTTTTGGATGGATAACAGTGTCTAGGAAAGAAAACTTCACCCTTCTCTTATCTCTTTCCTCTTAAATCATCCTTATACCTATTTATCCATTTTTAATCCATTTTAATTAATTAATTTTGAAAAAAATCACTTCACACTATTATTGGTTGTGAACTTCAACAGATTTAATAGAGGTGGGGATCATGAGCCAAAACTGACTGGTTAGTTGAAATTGTCCCTTTCCTGCTATACTGCACCATTTGAGAAGAGGTAGAAGGCATGGACGATAATCTGGCCTTTAACCAAACAATTCTTGACCTGTCAGGAAGAATTATTATCACTCATTCAAACAGATGGTTCTACGACTGGTGATTTGAAATGAGGCCTCATGAGGCCTATATCTGTACTTTAAGGAAAATGTTTTAGATAGAAGTGAGTAAATAAACTTGAATGAACCCAAGATGCTTTTTTGTCATTCCCAAAGTTATCATACCATTTTAAAAACAAAATAGAGGCATGTCGGCAACATAATACAAGAGGAAAAAGCATGCATGAAAGAATGACTCAACTGTTCAATTTCTTTACGATATCGTTCTTCTTCCTCAGTAGCCTTCTGTGCAATCTCCATTTTCCGCCTAGAAATGTAAACCCCCAAATGAAACTAATGAATGATACTTAATGTATAAAGTCACAATTTGTAGACAGCTTGTTCTATTGTTTGATGGATCATAACATTATACCCTGAGATAGATAGCTTGATGAGAAATGCAACACTTCTCTACCTACTAAGAAGCTTAAGCTTTATTCCTTCCTATTCAACAAAGGTAACTAGTAGGATTGATAAACATTTGAACTTGGGCATTATTTACCAAAATCCTTTTATGATTTGAAAGTGGCTGAAGGTGACGAGTGAACTATGGAAGACTCATGTTTAATGTGGCTATTTTGAGACTATTTCCTGGCCTTTTCAACACGTTTGAGCATAAACAGAAGACATTTCTTCTAAGGCTGTCTCAAAGTATTTAAAAAATGCTCACTTTGTTTTAATGTCCCACTCAGTTGCTATTCAAGGAGTGCAATATTTAATGTACTATTTAATATTTAATATGTAATGTATTTAATGTCATTCTTAGTTGTGTTATGATCTCAGTGCTTTTCTTTGTGTTAGATTAACAGAAAAATACAGAACTAATTGCAAACATAATTTCAGTTTATTTATTTTTTGCATGCATATGGTAATTGATTCCAAAAATGCTTTCCTGTTATGCTTCTTTTCAAGAATACTTAATGATCAGAATTCTACTTCTGCTATCAATATAATATATTTTCTATAATGAAATGTAACTTTGTTTTATTGAATTCCACTTTATTTTTAGGCTATTCTAGCATCATCCAGGCTTTGTAATGGCAATATATCAGTAGGGAAAATAGAAGATTTATAATAGCTGCTGTAGCTATAGGACACGGGTGTCAAACTTGTGGTGCCACATGGCGTTTCGTGATGTTTTTACCATTCGTGGAGCTGGGGTGAGCATGGCTGGTGCGCGATGCAGCCGGCTCGTAGGCCACCAGTTTGACACTCCTGCTATAGAGTATTATAAATCCTCAGTGTGGAAAGTCAGAAAACAACTAAAATCATTCTCTTTTATTAATAATCATCTACTCTTGATTAGTACTACAGTATTGCCTTTGGACAAGAAAATGCTTTATTCAAAATTAGACTTCATATCTAAGAAACAGTAAAGTTAAATTATCATGCTATATGATCACTGAAAAGCTCTGAAGCCTTCAGAAAGGAATTCAAGTGTTGATGGTTACACGAATCAACAGTTACACGTTATGGCAATTGATTAATAGATGAGACCCCTTCTGTCCCAAACTCTTACAGTTTTTCTTTTTCTTGCTGTTCTTTCAGGATTTTGTTGGTTTCCAGGGCAAGCCACTTCTGACGCATTAACTCTTGGCGCTCCAACTCCCGGTTACATTCTTCCCTTTGCCTCTCTTCCTCAGTCATAAACAGTTCCTTGCCCTAAACATTATTTTAAATCCCCGTTAATCAACTTAAGTCAGTCAATCATCCTAGTAATTGACTTCAGTGTTTGAGAAATAACATCTTTTGCAATATTTTCTTCAGAGAGAACCTGAAGAAAACTTGTCTCTGCACAACTTAAAAGACTTATTTTGGGAATAAACAAACAAAATTTAAATTTGGGAATTTTGATAGAACAGAAATAATTTTAAATGAATAGCTGTAACAAATGTAACTGGATGTTACGGTGTAGTTCACTGGTGGGTTCCGAATCCCGTTGCTACCGGTACGGTGCAACAGGGCCCGGCGTCCACCACAAGAACACGCGTAGCACACACGCACAGCGCGCGCATATGTCCTTACCTCCTGCGATGCTCTGCGATGCTCCAGCTGCTTGGCAGAGGTTGCACAGGCACCATACACTCTGTGCGCATGCATGAAAGCGCCGAAGAGCTCAAATACAGGTAAGGAGGATGGCAGGTGGGCCCTCCGGAGCACCGTACCGTACCGGTACCTGGTGCTCCTGGCAAGCACTGGTACACCTGTTCCGAGACGTACCGCCTGCAATCCACCACTGATGTAGTAGTCCGAATTCTGTTCTTATTTTTACGTGTGCCATTGTGGCCTAGGTCCTATGTATTTCTGGATCTCATTTGTAGACATTTGCATTTGTGAACCTTGAAATCCATGTTAAATCTATTTTAGAAACATGAATGTCTCATAAATGTAAACCTGTATTCTTTTTCATTTTAGTGCTGTGTATTGCGGTTGATTACCTTTGAGTTATATTCTCACTTCTATTTTCTGGTAACTGTATATCTTTACACTGAAGGGTGTGAACACAGCACCAGAGGTGTTATACATAGCTAGTGATACAAGCAGTCTCTGTGGGTGAGCAGTGATCCAAAACAAATGTGAATGTATGTCTAGAATTAGGGCAGACATGCTGTTGTTTGGTTTGCTTTTATCTTTTTGAAAGGGATGATAAATTGTAGCAGAAGCTATTCAATTTCTACAAGCATTCTCCTTGCATTGTCCCTAGACTGAGCTTCTGCTACAATTTATTATGTTTCAAAATGATAAAAGCAAATTGAACAACACTGTGCCTGTCATAATCCTGGAAATGCATAATACAATAAAATAAGTAGAGAAAATAATATTGAATTGGCAAAGATGATTGAAGATAATATTATGATATTTATAACTTAGTCAGGCTGTAATCCTATATTGATTTAGCCTTTCTGTTAGCCCCCTTACATTTTAACGAGACTTACTTTTAAATAGATAAAAGTTTGTAATGTTAAAATTATTTAAGCCCAGTTAAAATCATTTAGGATTTTAACTACATGAACTTGGAAATTAGGGCGTATTTTACACCCACTTTTTCTATTTTGGGGGATCCCAGGGTATGTGCTTTGTGTTTGTTTCATTTCTTACTGCTTATACAGCAGCCTTTTGACTTTTCACAAGTCTTTTGTTGATTGCTATGACATTAATACTTACAGCTCCAGTTACAACAATAATTGTCAGGGTTTGACTGCTTTTCAACACCTTCACAGCCTGGTGGGGGCAGATAGAAAAAGGAGGTGATGACAGAAAAATTAAACTGTAAAATATAAATATTATAAAAGTGTACAGTTTCTACAGGACTAACAGTGCAGTTATGATGGCTTTTATTCTTCTCAATATAATATTTTTAGTTATAATTCTAAAAAATAGGGGAACGTATTTGTAATTCTACTCATTTGTCATAAACACTGTTGCAAAAGATTTTCTTTTTTCCTTCATTTTCTTAAAGCGACATGATACAATTACTTTAGAACTTCAAACTAAAAATAAAATTTTGTTATTTTAACCACCTAGAGATGGTTTTCAGGTTTGGAGTGAGGATTGAGTTTTAAGCAATGTTGTGCAGAATACAAAGGGGGTAATTCCCAAGTAAATATGTTAGAATCGCAAGTGTACAGAATTTTTGACAAAGCTGACATGTCTTAAAAAAAATTAAAATCCATTTCCCTAGTTCAACATCTTTGGTTAATTTTTATCAAATAAAATTCTAAATGGTAGCTATAATGATATGGCAATCAATGGGCTTGTATCAATCAGTTGTATATTTATATTATATTTTATTCAAAAGAACATTTAATAATTTATTAAGTTTATATGCCATCTGACTCCCAGTTACCCTGGACAGTTTTCAATGGTTAAACGTTTTAAAAATAAAGAACAATAAAGTAAACATAATGTCAGGCCCAGAAATGATACAATATCAATTGAGTCCAATCCTTTATTTGCTTGCAGCTAAGGGACAGAATCTTGCTGTACTAAAGTTATAAATTTCTAATCTACGAGAGATACTAATATACGTGAGAGGTTCTAAGGTGTGGCTAATCTAAACCTTTTCCCCACTCTTCCTCCATCTTGAGACTATGCAGTCTCTTAATCTGGGCCCCTCTCTAGGAAAGTTCTGCATTACAAAACTGTCCCCCATTGTTCCTGCAGGCGCACATTCCACTTACACATTAAATAGCACAAGACAAAGGGACATCAAGTCCAAAGGGGATCAGAAACCAAGAAAGGGCCATTTAATCATCCTCTCCAAAGGCCTCTTTTAGGCACTTTGAATTCCTACTATGTGGAAGCTAGTTGAATTTTGGGGGAACTTCATGGTCCTATGTCATGTAGGGTCACTTGGGTTTTAATTACCTCCTTATGATCCATATTAGAGAAGTCTGCACCATTTACTTCAACAATCTGATCACCAACCTAAAAAGACAATCAACGAAAGTGCTGAATATTTTTTGCATACTTCTTAGTAATGGTGGTCCATTCTTTGTTCTGGAAAACCTCTGAAATAAGACAGATCCTTAAAGCTCTACTCTTGACTGTTCTTTCTCCTGTTAAAACATATATGTGCATGCACAGATCCACACAGTTTTTGCAAGAAGGTTAATACTGGAACACTCAGCTTCCCAGGAGCTATCTAATTTATCTTTGCTTGTCTTATTCAGTTTCACAATTCGATATTTAAGAGATGAACTTCAATGAAATGTGATAACAGATCTCCTTGATTTCAAATTGTGGCGTCGGATAAAACTCTTGAGAGTCCCTTGGACTGCACAGAGATCAAATCAGTCAATCCTAAAGGAAATCAATCCTGACTATTCTTTGGAAGGACAGATACTGAAGCTGAAGATCAAATACTTTAGCCACCAAATGAGGATTCACTAGAAAAGACATTGATGTTGGAAGAGACTGAAGGCATCAGAAGAAGGGGACAACAGAGGATGAGGTGAGGTGGTTAGATAGTGTGATTGAAACAATGAATATGAATTTGGGCAAATTTTGGGGACAGGGAGTCTGGCATACTATGGTCTATATATCAAGGGTCGCCAACCTACATCAGGAACCACTAAATTCATAATTTAAAATCCTGCAGACCACTAATATGAATGTTTAAAAAAGATAAATAGTATTTAGAGTAATATAAAAATGCAAATAATTTTTCTGTGGATTACCAAAATTTTCTCACAGACCACTGGTTGGTGACCACTGGTATATATTGTTCAGATTTAGTAACTGGATAACAACAAATAAAATAGATCTCCTCCTTTAGACTGGATCTTTCTCCCTTGTGTCAAAAAAGTTTTTATTTATCTTGGCAGATCAAATGAAAGATATGAAATGCACCCTTTGTTTGGAAAAATATGATTTCCTATATTTGCTTGCATTGGGGGTGAGGGAGACCTCCTCTTCCTCTTCTTCTTCTCTTGAGTTCTTTGTAACTTGTCTGAAGACCATTAGAAATTTAAAATTTTCAAAATCATACAGTTCCGGAAAAGGTAAGTGAATTGCTTAATCTAATCCATGAGATTAGATCAATTCAATGCAACAAGATAGATGTATATTATACGTATTTTCTTAAAGTGATCAATATTTACTTTAACTTCTGCGACATATGAGTGAATTCTCCTCCGCTCTTACTTATTTAATTAACTGATAATCAGCATTTACACTAGCAAATAGTCCTCAACATGGCTAACAATTACAGTATAAACCATACTATTACAATATACTACATTCACCTGCAAGTTAAAAACCAATTTCCACAAACCAAACTTTTCATGATTAGAGAAAAAACATTAGAACTTCTTCCAAATTAAACATTTCCATGCAGTTAGATTTTGTATGGTTTATATTCACCTCCAACCCTACTTCAGCAGACAAAGAATTTGGTTTAACGTTGCTTATGAAAATGCCAGGTTTTTGTGTAGGGCCACTGGAAATACTGGAACAAAACATGAAAGAAATAAAATCACTAATTAATGGTAATCATATCAAGACTAGACTAATAGACATTTCCTTCTCCCCATTCTTCCTATCAGTGGTGGGATTCAAATAATTTAAAAATCGGTTCTCTGTCCTAATGACCAGGTGGGTAGGCGGGGCTGAGTGGTCATGTGACCATGTGGGCATGGCTAACTCAACATTACTCGATGGGCCTTAGCTGTTACAACGTAATAAGGGTTAACCGGAGGGACAGTTTCTGTAAGCAGGGCAATAAAGATTAAGCTAGAAATAACACCAGAATGTTTCCTTCCTTCCTTACAGGATTAGCCCTGTAAAGCGGAAAAAAACCAAAAGAAGATTTCTTCCAACAACCGGTTCTCTGAACCTCTTAGAAAGTTATGAACTGGTTCTCCCGAATAGGTGCGAACTGGCTGAATCCCACCACTGCTTCCTATATACCAAATCTAATCTTGTAGATTGGTTTTTTTCTAAGAAAGGATAAGAAAGCAAATCATTCACTTTCTTCATTTTACAATACATTACAATAAAATGACATTTGTGTGTTTATATAAGGATTACATCACACAAATGTTTTGTTTGGATCTGTATATATGAATAGGATGAATAAATTCAGTGAAGAGAATTGAAGCGTTCTAATGCAAATGAAAAGAAAACTACTTTTACAATGAATTGGCTCTTTTAGTTCTTTTCAAGTCATATATCATTAATTAATAAAAACATCCACAATGATTCACATGAGTCAAAGGCCAAAGAACTGAGCTGCCAATCTAGAAGGCAGACATGATATTTGTAGTTTCTTTCTGCTTTAGGGCTTAATAATTTGTACCAGCATTCTGAACAATAAAAATGCCAAAATCAGTTCTTTTAATACTTAATGATTTAGAGGTGAAAGCAAAATGCAGGTTTAACAGGGCTGTGCAACACTTCATATTCTGATCGAAAAAAATATTTTGAAGTACTGGACCAGGCCTGTCAAACGGGTGGCCTGCAGGCCAGATACGTCACATGCAGGCCACTCCCACCCTGGCGCCACAATGGCAAAAAACGTCCTGATACATCATGATTCGGCCTGTGACGCGATTGAGTTTGACACTCGTGTAGTAGACTATGAACAGAGAACCCTTCTGTAACTCTCTGTTTCTTTTCCCAGAGCGACTTCAAAGCATCTTTTTGGAATCAAATCTGCATGAGTATCAAGTTTAATTGAAATCAAATGAAATTAATGGCTCATTCCCACTAACTACATTTTCTTGGAGAAACAAGAGACAAGAAAACGCTGTAGCTCACCTGCATCCCATGCCCTTTGTACCAATTAGACTAATGAAAACTTTCTTTTCTTTATTAAGTTTTCCTCCAGATGATGCAAGACCTGCAATGCTGTTTTGGCCATCCTAAGATAAGAGAGAACAGGCTTTCTGAAACTGCAATTAGTTAAATAGATAATTAATTGCCATTAATTAAATAACAAAGTTATCCCACTGCCTCCCTCTCCCAATTCAAATGGAATCTAGGTTTCATAAACATCTGCATGCCAAGATGAAACACAAGCTCTCGATCAGGGATGTCAAACTCACATTATCACGGTGGCATCAATGTGATGTATCGGGACCCACCCACCCCACCTTAGCTAAAGCAAGCATGGGTGTGGCCAGTACGTGACGCATCTGGCCTGCGGGCTGGAGTTTGATAGCCCTGCTCTAGATAATCTGTTTACTCATATTGGAAAAGTTAGGCCTGAGATTAAGAGAATGCCTAAGAAGATATCACAGAGGGGCAGTAATAACAACTCCAGATCTATTCACTTCTGCTTAATAACAGAAGCATGTTCCTGTATCATCTTCTGACCTAGATTCAACTGCAGCCAAGTTGGTATAGGGGCAGATCATTTTCACCTCAACCATCAAAATGCCTTAGGTTGACCATTTTTGGGGGTGGGGGACATTATCTCATATGCTAAATATATTCAAATCCTAAAGCAGCTCTCTTAACAGAACTGAATTAAGATTTATAAAATGGAGAAATCAACAGATTTGCTTAATCAACAGAAAGCAATAGGGGAAAACTGTTCCAAAAACAAAAACCAACTCTTTGGAAGTCTGAGACTACTTGGGGAGGATGGAATGCTATCTGGGATGAGGTTGAGGGTATGGAGGAAAGGAAAAAACTATAACTGGAATTTGGAATGGAGTAAATGGCATAAAGAAAAGCTGATTAAGGTCATTCAGCAGAGCAAAATTTGCTTAAGCTCACATATATTACATCAATAACAATATTGTTGTGATATGATGCTTCTCAGACTTGCATGGTTATCTATCATTCAGCTATCAAAGTTAAGCATTTTGGAAGCATCTTCAAAAATCAAAATACAAGTTAACACATATTGTCATAGACATTATTGCTTCCACAAAAATGATGTCATTATTATTTGATATAACATGTAAAAGTGAAACCTGGATACTTTAAGCTGCTTTATTTTCTTCCATCCTGTCACTTTAACTGTATTATCAATCCTCTGGGCAGGGGTGGGCTGCTACAGGTTTTCCTGGGTTTGGGAGAACCCATAGATAACGTTACGTCTGTTTCGGAGAACCTCCAAATCCCACCCACCCGCCTGCCCATCCCTTCCTCTCCAGCACATTTTGGATGCCAGGTAAGTGCAGGGCCTGCGCAGGGGCTCAGGGAAGGGGGAAAACGGGCCTCTTGGAAGTTCTGGAATGCCAGAAACAGGCTCATTTCTGGACTCTGGAAGGCCTCCAGAGCCCGGGAGAGGCAATTTTCTCCTTCCCAAAGGCTCAAGGAAAGCCTCCGGAGCATGAGGAACGCAAAACCCCTCCTGCCATGGTACCGGAGGCCAACTATGCTATCCCCACCATGGCCACACCCAACCAGCAACCGGGCAGAGAACCTGTTGTTGAAATTTTTGAAGCCCGCTATTTTTGAAGCGGATTATTACCTCTGGGTAATAGTCAGCTTTGCATGCCTCTTTCAAAAATCAGCTATCAGGTTATATTTGTGGGAAGAATGAGTCTTAAGGGTTTCTACTACCTAATCCCCATTTTAGTGTGCATTTTAACTAATAAAATTAAATTTAGTGGAGGTTTATTTCTTTCTCTCTCTGTCTCTGTTTATCCCATTATATTCTCAGAACATATTACAGTGAGAAAGACTGGTTGGTCAAAAATTACTTTAAAACCACATCTTCCCATTTCCGACTTTTAGCCATTATATCCAATTTGCTTTTTAAAGGACCATTTAATTTTTGGAGGCTATTTAGTAAGTATTTTCTTCAGCCAGATCCAAGTTCTCCTATCTGGGCACCCTCCAGATAGTTGACCTTTAAGTCATATAAAGGTTGAAGTCCACATACTTGGATGGCATCCAGATTTAAATGGCTACAACAGAGTAGGTGACAAACTAGTCACTTAGCAACAGACAGTTTATGAGGCTATCTTTACAGGTTTCATCCCAATTAGTTATTCTTGCAATACCTTCACGTTTTTTTAAAAAAAACAAAACATTAAGAGTTAGTTGCAGAATTTTCATTGTCCCTTCTAGTATTTTAATCATGTAGATTTCAATATGAGGGAAGGCACTATTTCTATGAACCTGTTAATTGCAACATCAAAAAGGTAAGCTGTCACTCAGTAAAAAAATATAGGTGTATTATCTGTCTCATCCCATTAAATAACCGAGCAGTTTGCAGTCTTTTTGGATATCAACATTTGTCAGTCCCAATCAGTGAATCCAGTGGCAAAGGAGCATGAGTGCAGAGCATCTGTAATGAAGACAGGTGTTTTAAAAAGAATTTTAAGACCACAAGATAACATTTGTGATAGCTGAATGGGCACCTTACCCCAGGGTCAGATACAAACTGGTCTACATATTGCCACTTGAGAGGCTCATCTGGGGAACTAAAAGAAAAGATATGCAGATGACAACATGTAAGCCTGTTATGTATCAAAATCAAATCAATGCCTATTAGGTAACTTGCTACTTATCTCTGATATCTGTATTACAGCATGTATCATGCTATGCAGGTTTTTTTTAAAGTTTTTTTGTAGGTAAACCTTTTTTTAAGAAACTGAAAAATACAGTGGAAAATGACTACAGTATGTACAATCCATACCTGTGATGGTGAATCTATGGCACGTGTGCCGCAGGTGGCATATGGAGCTGTATCTGATGGCACATGAACCATCAGTTCCAGCACGCATGCGTCCAGCTGATTTTTGGCCTTCCTGAGGAGGGTAAAAACAGCCTCCCCCCCCCCCAGAGGAAATACCAAGCTCAGCTTGGAGGCGAGCAGTACGGCGCACATGGGGAGGGACTATGGCAGAGGTGGGTTCCTACCAGTTCGCACCTATTCGGTAGAACCAGTTCGTCAAATCTACCGAACCGGTTAGAAGAGGTTCCACCAGTGGATCCGGAAAGCAGGCCATACCTACAGAAGAGGTTCCAAAATTTTTTGAAACCCACCAAGGATCTTGTAACTTGACAGCTTTAAGACAGCTTCAATGCTAGAGTTTCTGAATAGCTACTTGGACCGACCTAAGTACTCATTCATAATTTCATATCCGGTCACATGGGGGGGGGCAAGCCACTCCCATCTGGTCACATGAGTGGCAAGCCACTCCCACAAAAGAGGCCACACCCATAGAGTAGGTTCCAACAATTTTTGAAACCCACCACTGGACTGTGGGGAGAGGTTTGTGCACGCATGCACATGTGGGAGAGCGCTTTGCATTATTGCTGCCGGCACGCATGCATGCTATTGCGCATGTGTACTTACTTTTTCGCCACTCAACAACAAAAAAGTCATCACTGATCTATACTGTACATAAAAGATATGTTTTCAGAAAAAAAAGTTACCTTTTGACGGGTATCATCCCAACATCTGCAATGAAATCATATTTAAAGATAATTAACAAAATGTTCAGATTTATCTTCTAATTAACATAAAATTAGATATCACATATCATTTTGATCTAGTGGCTAAGGCATCAGGCTAGAAACCAGGAGACTGTAAGTTCTAGTACTGCCTTAGCCATGAAAGCTGGCTAGTTGACTGTCCCTTGGCCCAACCACCTCACAGGGTTGTTGTTGTGGGGAAAATAGGAGGAGGAAGGAGTATTAGCTATATTTGTCTCTTTGAGTTACCCATAAAGTAAAGTAAAGTAATAAAGGTGGAATAAAAAAAAAATCTCAAAGCAATGTTGTACTTACGTCGCACTTTTATAGACACTGTTTTCTTTGTGCGTATAAGATTGATGACTTCTTCATGAGTGCATGAGGAAATAGAGTATCCATTTATTCGAACGATCTCATCTCCCATCTTAAATAAAAAGCAATCAACCATCCAAACTCAATAGCATATTTTAGCAGACATATACAGTTGCAAATCAACATCAGAAAGATGTTTCTTCTGGTACAGAGACAGACACTTTCTATTATGAAATGGATAGAATGCGTAAGAAAAAATATTGCAAGCCACATAAAAGTCCTTAAACCAGTGGTACGATTCAATTTTTTTTGTTGCCGGTCCTATGGGTGTGGCTTGGAGAGCATGTTGTGGTTTGGTGGGCATGGCAAGGAAAGGATACTGTAAAATCTCCATTCCCTCCCCACTCCAGGGGAAAGGATACTGCAAAATCCCCATTTCCTCCCGATCAGCTGGGACTCGGGAGGCAGCGAATAGATGGGGGCAGGGCCAGTCAGAGGTGGTATTTTCCAGTTCTCTGAACTACTCAAAATTTCCACTACCAGAACTGGTCAGAACCTGCTGAACATCACCTCTGCCTTAAACATGTCGTAGCTGATTATGTTTGCTGAGGAATAACCAATGGGCTCTACAAGCCTAACCTCCATTCAATTTCTTTACAGTACATTGGCTGGATCCTGGATGTAAATCGAAATTTCAGAACATAAAATGGCTGCCATAGCAGGGCCTACTCTTCTCAATATGTCTGCCATTGTGGTTTTGCCTTATAAGTTACCTAGCTTTTTATTACTTTTGTTATCATACAAAACATGAAGGTAACATGTATGCAAGGGTCAGGAAAGAAATGTGTAATCCTTGGAAAAAGTATCAATTAGATACTATTATTGATAATGCAATTATAATTTTACAAAATTTAAAAAGTGCTGTTACTGACAGATGTTTGTGATGAAATGGTATCTATCAGGTCATAAACAAATGAATGCGACTAAATGAATAAAGTTAGTAAATAAATTTATATACTAACACACATTGAGCTGAGTTTACTCATGGACACATCCATAGGAAGCTTATCATCTTATATCTTCCAGCTATTCTCCTTCCCATCACCATACCATTAGCCAAATTTGTTGAGAAGAATATCATGGGTGATAAACCAAGGACTGGATGTGTAAAACAGTGAAAATCACCAATCCCACATTTCTAATAACAGATGTACTGACTACATCAAAATGGCTTCCATAAATGGAAGGTACTCTTTTATTACAGAAGGATAACTCTGGAACCCTGGCACAGGCTAATATATATGATTATAATATAGGTTTTGTTTTTTTCTGAAACAGCAATATTTTTCTAGGAAAAAAAAAATCATTGTTTTTATCTAGAAAATGGTGAACAGTACTCTCAACACAGAATTTCCCCAAAAGTGGAGCCTATTGAATGGAGACAATTTACAACAGCATAATTTATCTCTTTATGTTAATGAATAACTACATAATAGGCAGGGATTGCAAGGGAGCACGTATATTCCAGTGATTTCCTGCTGCTGGGGAAAAGCTTCTGAAGAGTGGACCTTTGTCTTGGCATTCCATGGAGTAAAATGTTGGGATTTCTTCTCTCTTACATTAGTTGGGATCTCTGCTCCCATACATTAGTTAAAAGCTAACTTGCGTTGATACACTGTTGGCAATGAATACAATTCATTGTATAAAAACTTATCCTGATGCTATGTAATGTATTATTGTCCCTGACTCTGCAAATATTATTTCCTCATGCCCACTTTTATCTCAGGAAACAATTATTGGCCCCTTTTTATTTTATTTGTTCCTCTTCCCTCTTATCTGACCCTCTTGTCACCCTTAGTCTTACTATAGCTGTTTTTCTCCCGCCAATGGGGCCTAAAACCAGTAATTTTCAAACCTTGAAATCTATCTCAGAAGCATTGCAATACTGTTGCATCAGAGCTTGCATACATATTATAGCAGTTAGACTTATATACCGCTTCATAGGGCTTTCAGCCCTCTCTAAGCGGTTTACAGAGTCAGCATATCGCCCCCACAGTCTGGGTCCTCATTTCACCCACCTCGGAAGGATGGAAGGCTGAGTCAACCTTGAGCGGGTGAGATTAGAACCGCTGATCTGCAGATAACAGTCAGCTGAAGTGGCCTGCAGTACTGCACCCTAACCACTATGCCACCTCGGCTCTTATTATTTAGAGTTGCTTATTTATAAAACCCTGCAATGCTTGTGCTTGGAAATTAACTGAAACACAAGTAATTGTGCAAATATCAATAATCTATAATACTTTAACAATTGGGAAAGGTTACAAAGTGCAAAAAGGAAAGGAGATCATCGACAGAAGACTACTATATGTTTTACAAATTCAACATTTGATTTAGTCTTACTTCACAGCTTGGCAAATTCACTACTGTATAATAGGTCTTCTCTTTAAATATTCTCTCAGGCATAACTCTGTTACAGTTATGCAACCGATAATTTGGAAGACCTATTTTCTTGTTGATTACTTATTTATTCATGTTATACAGTTATTTAAACCCTAAGGGATCTGCTAGAATTAATTAGTAGCAACTATGTAGAGCATAGACTATTTTAGTTTAGATTCAAAGTATTATTTGTGGACCAGGTTAATAGAATGAACAATTGGCTCCATAAACATTACAATGATATGATTGCTCCATCTACTGGACAAAATTCTTATTGCTATTAAGCGTCTTCCCCACTCAAACCCCCCCCCCCCCATCCCCTCTTCTTTTAAGCACAAATCTCTAATAGGGAACTATTATGTTGTTATTAATTAATTGACCATCTGATCAAAATTCAGATGCTTGGCAACTGGTTCATGCTAATGAACCATTGCTACGTCCCAAGGTCATGTGATCTTCTTACAAAAAAAAGTCAATGGGGAAGGCAGATTCACTTAACAACTGTGTTATTAGCTGTGGTGATTCATTTAACAACTTTGGCAAGAAAGGTTGCAAAATGGGGCAAAACGTACTTAACAAATGTCTCACTTAACAACAGAAATGTTGGGCTCAATTGTGGTCGTAAGTCGAGGACTACCTGTATTCTGTTGAACAACAATGTAATCATTTAATAAAGGCAGATAAACTAAGAGTAATCTGTCCTTGTTATATCTGGATAATAATTTTACTACCTTTTAAAGATCATCTTTCAGAAGCTAATTTTGAAAAGCTCCCACTGCTTCACACTTTAACAACTCTTTTCCATGAGTATAATCTCTTCAGGTTTCTGTTTTGTTTTTGTTTTTAAAAAGAGATAGTGATAGTGGTGATGATGGTTAAATTGCTATTGCTAATGCTATCATTACCGTAAAAGAAACAATGAACACACTTGAGTTCTCAGATGTTTTAGAATGGAGGGAATTATAAGGTAGAACATGCCTTCTTTATGTACAAAATTTCATTTCTAAGGAAATACTTTTAGGAAACATTTTATGTCTTGCATTTTCAGCATGTATTAAGCTGCTTGTGTTATTACTGAAGAACTATGGGACTAAAAGGAAAAGTATCAAACAGAAAATGCTTTGTTTTGGCTTTTGAAAACAGTCTCTTTACTAGCTGGACTATAGGAAGCAGAACTGTTGTGGTTTCAAATTTTCTATTTTCTCATTTTGCTGTACGTCTATTATCCATAATAACTTTCAGCTCCTTTTAGCCCCCAACATCCTCAAAGATATCTGTATCCGGGAGAATAGCTAGAAGAATTTTTGAAAAGGTGAATGACATGAAAAGGCTAAACACTGTCTATTCAGAAAAAAAAAATTGAAGCCATCACAGGAAAATAGGTCAGAGCTAGAAATGTTCCTCAGTTACAGATACGTATGCGGGTAGTTTTAGCAGTATAGAAAACTTTTAATTTCTCATAGATGAATCAAAATAGTATGGAAAAAAGGAGAAGAAACTGATATCTTGACTACTCATTACTTTTCTCAGACCACATTTTTTCCAGCTTAGAAAATGTGTGGAGATTTAATGAAATAATGCAGATGGATGAAATTTCAGAAGCATTTGGCATTATCACGAGACAGCAATTTAGAACAATGGGCCTCCTGTCAACTTCTCTTATTTACTTGTTTTCAGAAAGTTTCAAAGATGTTCCTCAGAGATTATTATGAATATAGTTTATGTTAATACTTAAAATCACATATCAACAGAGTCAGGTCAGCAACTATGTTTGCTGCAGATTCCTAACAGCTTCTTAGAAAATTTTGCTTATAATACAAGGAAAATTTAATATTAGTTAACATGTGTTCTATTTAAACATCTTCTTTTGGACTTTTCTTGAGTTAGTTTATGAGACAATATATAATATTCATGGTTTTCTAAACTATTCATAACATAAATGTGTGTAAGTTTATAAGTTGTGCTTTCATAATAATAAACAACATTTGGGTGTGCTTCTCATTCCCTCTTTGTGTAATAGAAAGTCAAATTCTTTCCCAGCATACAGAACAAGGGTGTCAAACTCAAAGCCGCAGACCTGCCGGGTGCTTAGATCTGGCCCATGGGGCCACCCTGGAAACAATGAAGAACTGGCCTGTGGTGCCTCTGCCAGTGAAAACAGAACCTGTGAAGGCTGCAGGTGACCCTCCTGAGCTTTATTTTTGCTGGCAGAGGGTTGCAGGAGGCTGCCCCAGCTGAAAACGGAGTTCAGGAGCCCATTTTTGCTGGCAGAGCACTTGGGCCACCATAGGCCCCCCTGACAAGAGTGATTTCAAGCTGGCCACACTCACTCTGGTCCCCCAAGGTTAAACACAATCCTGAGGCAGCCCTCAATGAAATTGAGTTTGACACCCCTGATATAGATGATATTCAAAGAGATATAAAGTTGCAAGTACAAATTGCCAACTTGACTTGATTAACATAATCAAAGGCTATTTTATTATCATTGAAGTACAATTGATTTCTTTTTGATACTGTTTGGCTTTCTCGGTTATTTAGCATTAGCAATATTGTCTCTTTGTTTCTTGGCCTTTACTAAAGTCAGATTTGAATATCTGACATCTTTTCCACAGGGAGCTCTAATCTATGTTGGATAACCATTAATCTTATTTTGCTAGCATGGTATGTAGAGTGATCTTTTCCAAGTTGTGTTATTCTCCAGATTTGCTGGCATACTTTAATTACAATCTTCACAAATTTTTCTTTTGATAAGGATTTTTCTTCCTAAAATGCATTTTGGGTATGGTAGCTACAAGACTTTTAATTGTATACATTTTTCCATCACCTGAAGTCCAACACTGTCTGCTTGTCCTCCTTTTATTAGCTGTGAAATAAACAGGCCACAAGCAAATTCAGCACCTCCTCGCACACTTATTCCAAGGCCTTCAGGATGCAGACGATCCAATCTCACTTCCTTCAGTTTCCTATAAAGTTGTAATATCAAACAATTTACAGTTGCAACATAAAAGTTCCTATAAATCAAACGTATCTATCTTTCCTTTATAATTAGGTTCTAGGCTTTCAAAGAGTACGAGATATATGATTCAAATTTCATTATCCAAGCTTTCAATTTATTTTATTTTATTATTTTTGGAGTTTCTATGCTAGTCCAATCCAAGCTTTCAATTTATTTTATTTTATTATTTTTGGAGTTTCTATGCTAGTCCAATCCAAGCTTTCAATTTATTTTATTTTATTATTTTTGGAGTTTCTATGCTAGTCCAATCCAAGCTTTCAATTTATTTTATTTTATTATTTTTGGAGTTTCTATGCTAGTCCAATCTCATTAATTTGTGGCAAGGATACAGAAAGTTATCAACCATTGTTTCAGTTCTTGTGCTGCTATAGAAAAAAATTGTTTAGCAAACATGTATATTGTAAAATGCTTTCTTCTTCATGTTCATTAATCTTTGGCTATTGATTTCATTATTGGATGATATTTTTCAAACCCCCACACATTTTCTAAAGTGGTCTACTCGTTGCTCTTCACCAGCTCTCTAAAGACAAAACACATTTCATTTAATTGTGTTTTCTAAGGGAGAAGGTTTGAAGGAGAGAAACTCCTTGATTGAATTGTTAATGTGTTTTTCATAATAGTTTAGTGATAATAATTTATTATGGATTTTGATAGAGCTTAATCTGATGATGTTTTGCAATTTTTTGTGAAGCATATGGCTAGTGGTGGGGAAGACAAAGTTAGATCTGTTGTCATATTTTATGATAAGGAAAAGAGAAAAATGAAAGGTCCTTTTAGTAGTTCTATATTTTATAATACAAAATAGTTATTTCAAAAGTGTGCTTTGATATTAAATGAAGCTATATAGAACACTGTTCTGAATGACCATATACAGTGTGCTTTGAGTTTTTATAAAAGAATTAGCTTTCATATGTTTTTTCCCCATAGTCAAAGATATTGTTCAACCTTACCTTGTTCGTTTAGGTGTCAACTGATCATATTCCACTTGGTGTTTTAATGGGATAAGAGGACAAATGGCCTCAAACAATGGTAGTCGACTTGGTTCATTGATTACATACTTCAGATCACCAACCAACACTGGAAGATTCATTGATCTACAGAATTTGGGAAACTTGTGTTAGTCTGTCATAATAAAGAGCTCCCCTAAGAACTTATAGCAAGTGGCAAAATGTCACAACAGGGGATTACTACTTTTAATAACCTTTGTTATTTGGAAAAAGGGCTACAGACACCTTCTGATTTTTGGATCTACAGAATGAAATTGTGGAAAGTTATAAAACAAATCTATAATTGACACCTACTGGTAATGTATTTAGCACATAATGTGGTATTGGCTTATAACCTAATATATACCTTTTCTCTTTTACTAAAAAAAAATAGGGAAGCCTTAAGTGACCAAGTTATTGATGAGCAGCAGAATCTATCATCTATCAATTCATCTTATAACAACTATGGCATGTGGAATATCAAGTTTTAAATTATAAGTAAAGTAAATGGTAAGAATTAACAAATGAAAGAAAAAAATAGATATGTTATATGAAATGTAATAGATCTGATTAAATTGCTCTATGGATTCAGTGGAAGCATGGATGATTTGCAAGACTAGTATGTATAGAGAAGTACTATGAACAGCACTGCTGTAAAATTTAAGTACTGTGTATTTCTGTTTCCATATCTAATGTCTTTTTTGTTTAGCGGTACTTTTTACTCCTTTTCTGCACCTTGCACAACTGCTTACTCAAAGAGAAATGTATTTATTTATTGTATGATACACTCAAAGACGACTAGCAGAATAGCTATAAGGATAGTATTGGTGCAAATATATCTATATCTATATCTATATCTATATCTATCTCCATCTCCATCTCCATCTCCATCTCCCTATCTATCTATCTATCTATCTATCTATCTATCTATCTATCTATCTATCTATCTATATATCATCTATCTATACACACACACACATATACATACACATTATGTGTGTATCTGCATGTATAACTAGTAAAAACTAAGTAAAATGGAAAGTAAAGTAAATAAGAAAGAAAGTAATGTGTAATTTAAATTTCACTTATTTCAATGCAAAATAAATGGAAACAACTTTCTTTGGATCCAATCATTTATTTAATTGTATGGTTAAACTAGAAACATATTTACTGGAAGGGATATTCTGATCATAATAGTTAAGGTATAGTCTTAACCAGGTTTGGAAAGGTTAAATTTATTCTGTACTGCCTATTCAACTACGTAAAATATATGTACAATGCATGATGGTACAATTATATTATCACAGGTATTGAACAACCTAATAGGATTGCTTGATATACAAGCAGTATCTTACTAATAGCAATCAAATAATTCCAAATAATCAATTACAAAATTCAATTGCACTTTCAATGGAACATCAAATAAAGTTGAGTTTTCTGAAATTTTAAAACCCCCAAATGCATGGATGTTGTATGCACTGTTTTCCTCAAGAACAATAGCCATCTATTTATTTTTAAATAAAAATATTTCCCCATTTAATAAGCATTGCATGGATAGACCATGCTCATTTGTGATACAATAATAAGGAAACAGTATTGGAGTACTAAAAAATTTATACAATTCTAGTGGCATATATTTTTGAGGATTAGAGCCCATCATGGAATAGGAATCTAATTTTCATTTACCTTAGTATTATGTCTTTAAGTATCCCTAAGGAAAAATTAAGACAGAATCCTGATCCAGGTAATAAAATAAAAAGTATTAGTTTTGAAAGCCTTGGCAGAGATGTCCTTTGGAAAGAATAGAATGGAATAAGGCTAGAAGCAAAAATCAATGGGGACTAATATTGTCAAAGGAGTTACAAATACTTAGGTTTCTCTGTAGGCAGCAAAGGACAGGGTCTTCCAGATATATTTATTTAATTATCAATAATATTTCCCAGTGTAGGGTAGACAAGGATTGAGCAAAGAAAAGAAGTTTGTACTTTCCAGCCACATTTTAAACAATCAACTCATCAGAATTCTTTCTTCTCTAAACAGGTGCAAACCAGACTTTATGAATGGATAAACAGTCTCAAGGGAAACCAAAATGAATTAGTAGCCAAAAGCACACCAAGATATATCTTTGGAGAAAAATCACAAAGAAAACCAGCCAAATACCATTCTGCTGAGATGGTACAAATTAAACTGTAAGCTTCACTTTTGAAATCTGGAGAAATATTCCCACTTATTCTATGCAAAATAAAATGGGCTCACACCTATTTCAATTATTAATGAGTAGAAAATGAAACTATAATTGCATCCTATTTGTGTTGAGAAAATAAGAAAACAGAGAAAAAATGGAATACATATTTTCTTGCTGAAGAGGATCTGTGGCACTATTATTTAAGTTATATGGCACTTTAAGAATAAAATTATTGTTTGTGTATGCATGTATGTATACAGTACATCTAAACACCAACATTATAATCATTACATATATTTCATTCAATGCCTCTGATCTCATTGCTTACACTATTTGAAATCCTTTTTATACAGCTAAATTTCCATGTCCATATCTATCTTCTACTTCAAAACACCATTCCATAGATCCTATGAAATTACTCTGGGAACACGAGCTCATGTTTTCATGCATTTGTATGTTTTTACAGAGCCAGAATTCTTATCGAAATACAATGGTAACTTTGTTGTAAATGCATAAATTAAAAACATTTAGATCTAGTGAAAGCTATATACAATAAAGCAAAGTTAACAAATGCATTATTTTTTCCAAATTAGTATTTGCCTTTTACTTAATAAAACAATTGTTAAAGGAGGTGTTTGAAATTCCTATTAAATACTTTTAATATTTTACTATGAGTTAAAATAGAGGGATTTCCCCCCTTATTTACCTATTATCTCCAGTCATGTGCAAAGACACTATAAAACTAAAAGCATTAACACAAAGACTTACTGGTGGTACATCCGCAGTACATCATACAGATAATCTTTCTCTGCTTCATTATCAATTAAGAGGTCAACCTGAAAAATAAATAACGTCATTATAATTCTGTTCATAAATAGGAAATCCTGAAGATTTCCCCCTTGCCATTAATCCCGAAGCCATTACAGTATCTGATTCCCTTACCTGATATTGAGTAAATACCTGAATAAATATTTTCAAAAACCGTTTAGGCCATTCACTAATGTAGCCCATGATTGCAAATCGCAACTATGAAGGACAGGGCCGAAACCAGCTATTCACCGGCTTCTCTGAATGCAACCATCTTCCTGAAGATGCGCAATCAAGTAAATTATTCCACCCTGCTTTGATATTGTGAGCTTGCTGTTAAATAGTTATCCTTTCTTCACTCTCTGAAACAGCAGGTTCAATTAACCTCGTGTCAGGTTGCAAGAGTTTCGCTCTACTAACTGTTTCTAAAACAAACAAATAAAAACCTGACAAAATGACTTGCTTTTCTGGGTACTTTTCTGAAACCGGGAATCTCCATGGTCTATTCATTTCTATTAACAGTAAAAGTGAATTATTTGTGCATTTTGCTGAGAGTTAAGTGGTTACAATATAATTTAAAGCCACTTAAGAGAAGAACATACTAAACTGCTTTATGCTAAAACACAGCAGGGGTTCATTCTCAGTAATGGAAGACAGATATTATGGCATCGCTCTATTGTTTTTTGTGTCCCAGAATGTAGTAAGTTATTTTCCAATGCAGCCTCATCTTACAACCATTCATTAGGTGGCTCTTCAAAGTTAAGGCCCTGAAAAAAGTGATGTATGACCAGTTTTTACACTTATGACTGTTGCAGCATCCTCATGGTCACCTGATTAAAATCCAGGCACTTGGCAATTGTCATGTATTTATTACAGCTGTACTGCCCTGGGAACATGTGATTACCATTTGTAACCTTCCCAGTCTGCTTCTGTAAGCAAAGTCAATGGGGAAAGCCAGATTTGCTTAATGACCTCATTATTCAGTTAACAACTGCAGTAATTTACTTACTTGGCAAAAAGGTTGTCAAATGGGGTATAAAATTCACTCAACAACTGTCTTGTTTAGCAATGAAAATTTGGGATGCAATTGTGGTTGATAAGTCGAAGACTACTAGTATTTGACTTCTTCTTTTGAGTCAGCTTGACTGTTTCCACCAGTCTTTTGTTGTTATTATCCTTATTTTGAATATCATGGTGTTTTTCAGACCGTGAGAACTAACTTTCACATCCAGATTAACGCAGTTTGAATGGGTGATGTAATATACCTTAATTAATACCTGTTCAGATCACCTGGACACCCCAAGGTCTGTGGTTATAGCCACATAGCAGCACTCTAAAAAAGCAAATGGATTGCATAGAAAGTATTGTGATAAATGTCAATCTAAAGAAAAGTAATCTCCAGTGCATACTACTCATATTTTTTTTATTATTTGTCTTTACAGGATACCAATAAATTACAAACAAATAAGAATCACTTGTCAGTGATGTTCATTCTATGAACAGAATGTTGTCATGATGAAGGCAGCACATTCCTATATATTAATAAAATATTTTTAAAAATCTGAACATATTCAGTGTCTTCTGAATATGCAATAGTAAATAGAACATAAATTTACAAGAGACATTAGTATTCCTTATTGCATCACTTTACCTTTCTAAGACATTAAAGTACATAAAATAAAAACATAAATAATGATAATGAATTCTACACTTGGAATCTAAAGTTGTTCCTTTAGAATCATATCAGCCAATAGTTTGTTAAAAAAAAAAAGAATCATCACCTTGGAGACTACAGTGGCACAAAATAATTACAAACAATTACTTCAAATAAACTTGTCTAAATTTCAATATGAAATGTAATAACAATATTTAGCCTGAACACTAGACTTTTAATTTTTATATTGAATGCTTTGCTTTAAATAAAAAGTTTCCTTATAGAGTCAGTTACTGAAAATATAAATTTTATTTAGTCCTGACAAGGTATCTGAATGCTAATGCTAATGAAGTAAGATTCTGAACAGATATGGACTGTGTTCATAGAAGAAGTTTAAATAAGCAAATTAGATTTCAGAGTTATGTATGAGAGTTATGTATCAGCACAAAAGGTCACAAGTACAAAGTACATGATCATAAATATATTTAACGCATATGGTTGAAATGTGTCTGTTGCTCCACAGCTAAATGTTAATAGCTCTGAGATATAGACATAATAGTAATTAACTGGCATCTTTGGTAAAGAGCTGCACAAAGCATCTTAACATTTTCTACTTCAAGGTACTCTGAAAATTTGGTCTAATACTATACTGGATGCATAGTGTTGTGTAATACAGTACAGTACAGTGTAGTAATACTATAGTGTATGGCTCAATGGTTAAGATATTGAATGCTCAGCAGTTACGATGCAAGTTCGAGACCAAAGTGCCACGCAACGGGGTGAGCTGCCATCCTCATCCCAGCTCCTGCCAACCTAGCAGTTCTAAAGCATGCAAATGCAACTAGATAAGTAGGTACCACTATGGTGGGAAGGTAACAGTGCTCTCTATCATCATTCTGGTCACATGACTGCAGCAATGGGCAGCAATCACTCAATGGCTTTGAAACTCAGATGAGCACCATCCTCTATAGTCAGCAATGACTAGCAGAGTAAAATCCACAGGGATTCCTTTACCCTCCCTTTACCCTCCCCCCTTTTTTACCACATTGGATCATTTTAATTCTTAGGTATAAAATATAAATGATGGAGAAATGTTTTGTTGTACACGAGGATAAATCCTAAATACTTTTTACTATAACCAAGTTCTCTGAAAGATTTATTTTGATTTTCCCCTCTAAATATATTTTATGCCTAGGAAAAGGAGGCAATCCATGAAAAGAAATTATGCCATACAACTTGTATTTTAAAACAAACAAGTTTGACTTAAAATCATTGCAAGGATATCTTCTGAACGTTTTCTAGACGAAAGAAGTACTAAGCATGGCTTGGAGCAGTGTTTTCCAAACTTAGCAAGTTTATGATATGTGGACATCTTAAAGTTGCCAACTTTTGAAAAACTCTGGCTTAGAGGTTGTCTTTGTTCTGCCTGAAAAGTAAAGGGGGGCAAAAACTACAATCTCCCGTGTGTGTGTGTGTGTGTGTGTGTGTGTGTGTGTGTGTGTGTAAATATATTTGCAGTGTTGGAATTTGGTAGCTTAAAGCAAAGCTGGCTGTGGAACTCTGGGAGTTGAAGTCCACAGGTCTTAAAGTTGCCAAGATTGGAGACCAATGGCTTAAAGAACAAAACAAAAGATCAGCTAATGCCGTACAAATGCTTTTTGGCATCCATTTCACCATGTCACATTCCTG